GGGGAGGTGGGGGGGGGGCGGGGGGCGGAACGATGATCATCGAGCAGGGCAAAGGCACGCACATCGGACCGGGGGAGGGGATCTCTCTCTCTCGGGACGGGGGAGGGGGGGGGGGGCAAGAACTGGGAGGGGAGGAATCTCTGTCTCATCTTTTGGGTGCGGTGGGACACCAGGGGTGCACGAGAAAAGACTGCGACTCGGGCGCCGGACCCCGATCGGGCCCAGGACGGAGGCGGCTGCCTGGGAGAGTGGTCCCTGCGGTGGGCCGCCCCCGGCCGGTTGCCCCCGCCTGCTGGGGCCCGAGGGCCTGGCCTCGAAGCCGGCCGGCGAAGTGTAACGGTGGCCAGGGCGGCTGGGCGAGCAGTCCTGCTCTGCTTCCCCCCTCCCCCCCCTCCCCGAGGAGGCCCCTGCGCAGCCGGGCTGGACGAAGTTGCTGGGCGACGGTGGCGGGCGGAGATCGACCCCCCCAAGGAGGGGTTGGGGCGTGAGCCTGGAACCGCCAGTGTACTGGGGCAGAATCTGGCCGCTCGGGGAGAAGAGTTCGTCCCCAAAAAAATGGAAGGAGAAGGACCCGGCGGAATCATGCCCCCACCGCGCCCCGGGTGACGGCGAAAAGCCGGTGCCATTTCCAATGGGGATCTCGCACCTGCGCGCCCGGCATGGAGCCGGGGCGGCGGGGGGAGAGTGCGCCCGTCGCGCCTGGGGCACACTCCCCGAGGCCGACCTCGTCGGGAACAGGGCGCCACGGGGGCGGAATAAGTGCGGCATTTTCCGAGCCTCTTTTAAAAGCCGATTTAATGGGCTCCTTCGTGTCCCCCACCTTCCTTCCAGCCCCTCTCGCGTCCTGCGTTCGTGCGGCTCCCGCGCAGCGCCCCCCGCCCCTGCCGGCTCTGGTTCCTCGGCTGCCGGCTGGGGCTGGGCGCCCCCCTCCGCGGTGTCCGTGCGTGTGTGTTTTTTTTTGTGACTCTGGCCTGGAGCCAGGTTCAGAACGTGCCGCATGACCAGGCGCGTGTCAGATGGGCAGGCAGTGGCTTGGACCGGGCGATGCCACTATTTCGAGCGTGGAATGGAATTTTCTCCAGCACGTCGGATAATGGCATGGTCCTGCCGGACACCAGCCCTGTTCCGCGGTCCCTCGCGATTTCCGGCGCACGCGGGCCCCGCCCTGGCAACTCCTCCGCGCGCGCGCGCGTCAGAGAGGGCACCTAGACCAAGCTCGCGGTGGGCAACACCTGTTGGAACGACGCTTGATCCTCCCTGCCCGTCCAGTTGGGGTGCATTCGTGTGTGTTGTGGCTGGGATCCATCCAGGCCGCGCACTTCCTGTGGTGCATTTGCGCGCCAATGTGCGTGTGTGTATGTGTGTGTGTGTGTGTGTTCACGATGGCGGCAGGGGCTCCAAGGACAGTAAGCATGTCCCGCTAGCTGCGCCCGCGCTGGGGCAGGGGGAGAGAGCGGCCGTGGCCACACATCCACAGGGGTATATAAGTAGCTGGTCCACACGCGCCGAGCCTCCTGTGGTCATTCCCTACACCTCCTCTGCCACTCGACAAATGCGTCCCGTGTCCGCGCACACACTCACCCGTGTGCGGCCGGTGACCTCCTCCCCTCTCTCTTTTGCTGCCATGTCTCGGGGATTGGGCATGCGTGTGTGCGCAGCACCTCGTGCGCGTGTGCATAAACCACCGTGTTCCCCCTTTCTCTCTCTCTCTTCGTGACAGAGGCGCTCTTGAGTCCAGAGGCGGACCTCCAAAAAAAAAAACATCCCCAGGGGTGGAGGAGCCCGAGGAGAACGCGCGTCTGCGTTTCTTCGGCTTCTCGCTCCCCTCCGCGCTCGGACTTATGCAGCACTGCAGATCCCCGTACGTATCCCCCTCTCCCCTCCCTCTCCCCTCCCCTCCCCGCTATCCCAGTCATGGCGGCTGTGCACGCGTGTTCATCTTGTGCATTGATGTTCCCGCGACATCGTTCAGCACACTCTGTCGCCTAGATGAATGCCGTGGGCTTTTCACTCGATTCTGCATTTCCACCAGCGTCGAGCTTGTTCTTCCCATGCACATACTCCCCTCCTCCCTCCACATTTCCCCCCCCTCTCTCTCTCTCTCCCTATCCTCCTCTCTCCCTCCTTGGCCTTTATGCTCCCCTCCCTTTCGCGCACCCCACTCACATACATTGCCCCCATCCAGACCCCGCCCTTCTCTGTGCATGCAGCGGTCCCGGTCCTCCCGGTCTGAATCCCCCTGCAGTGTCCTCATCTTCCCCGGGGCGCCTGCTCTCCGCCGCGAGGTGGATCTTCCCCTCCCTTGGTATGTTTCTCTCTCTCCATCCATCCATCTTCCCTCCTCCCCCTCAACGTGATGATTGAACAACCCAGCTCAATCCGAAATTCAAGTGTAGATTGATTGTTCTTTTTTGTCTGAACCTTCCTGCCCTCCGCCTCCTCCTTCCTTGCTCGACATCCTTTCTGACACCGCCTCCTCTTTTCCGTAGCCGCAGTTCGACGGCCTTTTTCTCCCCGGTCTCGGGTGTTTGCGCCCCAACAAGCGTGCTTTCCCCCTTCCCCTCTCTTCTGCGCGCCCGCCTCTCTCATGGTGGAGTGATGTGGCGCATCGCGCGCCCTCCGGCGCTCTCTCTTCCCCAATGCGCACCAGCAGCAGCGCCCAAATACAATTCTACCTACTCTCTCCCCCTCCATCATCCGTGTCCACATATGCTCCCCCCCCCTCTGCCTTGTTTGTGTGTGTGTGTTCCTGGGGGCGGCAACACCCTGTTCCCCCTCCCTGCAGCGCACAGGCACGTGTCTGTATTGCCTCGCCATCTCTCCCCCCTCCGCCACCGGCGTGTGTCCGAGAATGTTGTGTCCGCGCGAGGGGGAAGGCACCGCAGGCCAAATCCGGGTCTCCACACCAGGGCTTGTGGGCGAAGCACGACCAATCCGGGAAGAAAGGTGACCCCACCTGGGGTGCCGATCATTTTGAATGGCTCTCGCGCTGTCATGGGGGCGGAGTCGGGGGGGGGGGGGGGGGGGGGGGGGGAGGGCCCGGCCCGAAGAGGAATGCAAGAGTTTCCGGGAGGGGGGGCAGGGGAGCAAGCGGAGGGGGGGGCGGGGCTTCGGGGCGGCCGGGGGCGGGCTCGGATCGCGCCCGTCCCCCGTCCCCTCGACCCGGGGGGGGGGGGGGGGGGGGGGGGGGGGGGGGAAAGGTCACACACCTGCAGGGCGAAGACGGGGCGCGCACATGCCGCGGAGAGCGGCTGCATAGCGTGTTGCCGATGTGCGCCTCAGATTGGCGGGGCTGCCGTGCGTCGGGGGCAAGACAGGGGCATTCCCCCCCCCCCGCTCTTGGATGCCACTGGCTCGGACAATGTTTCCCCGCTCAGAGCCGAGAGGGCGTGCGGCGTGCCGGCCGGTGCATTGGTTGCTGGCAGGGAAGGCCACTTTCCCAGCCAGTCGTTTTTGTGGCGCTCCGGCGTCCGGGACACCGGCCCGTGCGGCAACACCTGGCGTCGCTGCCCCCCTCCCTCCCTCCCCCCGTCATTGCTCTCATTCTGCCCGGGACGATTTGCAACGCCCGGGTCCCCCCCTCACCCTCCGGCTCTCTTTCTTTTCTTCCCCCTCCCTTCCCGGCACATCCGCCCCATGAGCATGTCCTCCTTCTCCCCCTCGTCCTCTCTTCACGCCCATCCCCTGTTGCTCGGGGTCTTCTTTGCCGAGTTTCACCCGACCCAGGGCCCACGCATCGCCTTCCAAGCCCCGAGCCCCTCGGTGGATGCGGTCGCCAGCCAGTGGGGCCCGAGCGGCGGCGCCAGCTCCGCCACCACTGGCGTCCCCCCCTCGCCGCCCTCCCCCCGGCCACCAACACCCCCACTGCCGACTGTGGCGGCCGCCCTTGCGGCCACGGCGGCCGTGCCTCCGGCCTCTGCCGCCCCTGGCAGCAGCCAGCCGCCTCCCTCGCCGAGCGCTCCGGCTCCAGGGTCCGCGGGCATCTTCCGTGCCTCGGCCGGGTCGCCGCACCTGGGGGATGACCAAGCCGGGCCGGCGGCCCCGGCAGCCCCCCCCGGCGCCCTCCCCCAAGGTGTCTTCGACAAGATCTCCGAATATGTCATCCCAAAGCCCCAGCTGTGTGGGCGCGTGGTCACCCTGTGCGTTCTCTCGGCCCCTGTCGCTCAAGCTCGCTCCCCTCCCCCCCCCCTCCCACCGCTGATCCTCATCATGCGCCCATCCGCCAGCCGCGTGGATGGCGTCACGTTGCTCGGCCTGCCGGCACTGATCCAGGACAACAAGTATGAGCGCAATGCCCTCATCTTCAACTTGGTGTTTGTCCTGCCCGAGGGTGCCGACACCTATGCCCATGAGCTGCTTCTGCGCAAGGCCACGCGTATCCTGAAACTCGCAGAGGTACATGCCCCGGCTGCGGTGGGATCTCCTCGTGCTTCCTCCTCTTCTGGCCCTGCTCTGTCCCTTCCCGACTAACGCCTCTTCCACGGCGCAGATCGAAGACGGTCTGCTCATTCGCCCGGCACTCAAGTCCCGCTTGGGCGATGTCCTGTCTCAGATCTTCTATGACCTCAATCAGCACGGCTCAACCACAATCGACCTGAGTGCGTCGCCTTCCCATAGATCTCTCTTGCTCTATGTCTCTCTCTCCCCCCCCCCTTCCTCCCCTCCCTGACCCTCTTCTCGGCGCCGGCTGGCCAATCTCCTTGTCCTCTCCTGTTTCGTGTCCTGTCAGCCTCCTCGCACACGCTTCACTTGAAGCTGCCGCTGCGCAAACTCTTCCCGGTGCCGCCCCTGCCTCAGGACCATGACGTGCCGGTGTTCATCCGCGCTCTGCCCGGCGCTCAAATGCCGGATATCCGCCTGGATGACCTGCAGCCGGACGCCAGCCTGGCCGGAACCGGGGCCGGGGCCAACTTCCCTGCCTTCACTTCGGCCGCCTGGGACCTGACCTCACAGAAGGTGCGCCCATTTGGAGCATGCCGCTTCTCCATACCGGGACGGTGAACTGACCACTTCCCCCCCCCCCCTGGCCCCTCTCCGCGTCTGCCCGCGTCAGGTCATCCCTCTGATCAACGGTCAGCGGACCATCCGGGCCATCTCCCATCTCTCGGATTGTGATGCCGAGCTTGTGGCCAAGTGTGTCCAGCATTTGGTGTTCTATGATTTCGTTGTCCTGACGGACCTGTTTCAAGTGCGAGCCCCTCCTCTTCCCACATGCATTGCGCCTTCATAGCTCAGTTTTTTTTTGCTCATGCTGTCCCCCCCCCTCCCCCCCCCCCCCCCCCCCCCCCCTCACTGCTCCCATGTCCCACGTCGGCAGTACTCCAACACCTATGTGGCCACGCCTTTTATCCGGCAATTCTTCGGCTCGCTGGCGGCCGCCGAGCAGTGCTTGCTATTTGCCGTGCACCCTCGATCGCATGCGCTGGTGACCGGGTGGCTGGAGGCGACCTGTGCCGGGCCAGCCAACGGCGACTGGACTCCCCTGACGGCTCAGTCCCAGGCGCCCCTGCATGCGCAACAGCCATCACCCCCACATTCCCAGTCCTCGCCATGTGTCGAGGTGACGCCTTCGCCGGCCACCGGGCCCGTGGCCCGCCTGGGAGTCTTCACGGCCATGGCGGTCATTTTGTCTGGCCTCCATCCGGGGCGGTCGGTAGCCGCCGTGGCCAACCAGCATGCGGATCTGCTGGTTCGCTTTGACATCGACATCCGGCGGCTGGTGGTCTTCTCCACGGTGCGTGGGTGGCTGCGAAGGGTGCACGAGGTCCCGCTCCGGGCAACGGCGCTGGCGCCAGCCCCGCCCGGGCTTCGCTCCGATTCCCTCACCGCCCGGCAGCTGGCTGTCGATGCCCATCTGGGGGCCACTTTGGCTCCGCAGCTGAAGCGGTACGTGGGCGTCTCACTGCTCCGCATGTGTATCGCTGGCCCGGCCTTGCCCGGCCTTGCCCGCTCCCGCTCCTCTCCCAGCCTTCCATCCATCTTGCGCCAATATCCCCCCCCGCCCCCCCCCCCCCTCCACCTCCACCCTGCCGGTCCGGGGCGCAGATACTCTCGACGGGCGCACCTCGCTCAAAATCATCTCGATCATCTTCGGCTCGATGCTCTTCAGCCGGGGATCCTGGAAGATGGGGTCGTCGCTGATCGGCTGGCCGTTGTCACCCTGTGCAGCTCCGGAGGCAGACCGCCGCGCGGCCGGGGTCTGGTTGAGGTTGTAGCAGCCCAGCTCGTTGCGCATTTCATCCTCCTCATCCTGGGCCCGGGAGTTGCCAAGGGGCGCAGCTCCACCGGGGCTCGAGAGGAAGCGCCGGCCGCCGAGGGACTTGCGAGCTGGAGCAGCACCCACGCCAGGGCCAATGCCCGGGGGACGGCGCACGCCCAGAGGGCGTTGGCTGGGCCCGGCATCCGGTGGCGGGCTGGCCCCAGGTGCGCGGCCCGGGCCGTAGTGGCGATTGGAATTGAAGGCGAAGTGCGTGGCGTCCGAGCGTTGCTGCTGATTTTGCCGGTCGATCGCCTGCACAAGCCACGCACGCATGTCCATCCGGATGTGAACGCGAGCAGGAGAGGAGAAGATATGGGCAGGTCAGTGTGTTGCAGATTCTCGAGAGGGGGGATGAGAGCAGGGGGGAGGGGGGAAGGGGCGAGGAACTCAAACTGTGAGAGGGATGTGGGCGCACAAGCTGCTGCTTTGCCGTGATGAAGCCGGGAGCCAAAGAGGAGGGGCCACCATCGCTGGGGAAGGGCGGAGGAGCATGAGCAGATTGTCGGAGGTCAGCCGAAGGGCAAGAGAGAGAGAGAGAGAGAGACAGGGATGCCACGGTCGCAGGGGGGCGTACCCAGTTGGGCTATCGGCATCCAATAGTGCGTCGCCCGAGTGAAACGGCGCAGCCGGGGGGTCGTCCTGCCCCGGACCGGACCCGGGGTCAAAATCCCCGCCAGCGCGTGGCCCGTGGTCTCCGTTCTGCGGTCGCCGCTGCTGCTGCTGCTGCTGCTGCTGCTGCTGCTGCCGCTGCTGGGCCAGCCGAGTGGTGACCTCCTCATGCAGCGAGACAAGGGCCCGGATGTGGTCAGGGCAGAGAGGCTCCACAGGTGGGTCCACATCCGGGATCGGATACGGGCCTGTGTCTGTCCCTGGGGGTACCGGGATCTAAAGTGGCCAAGGTCAGTGGCCGCCTCCCAGGAGCCGCGAGAGACCCGGACAGGGCGCAGCACTAAAATAGGGTGGGGTATAGAGAGAGAGAGAGGGAGAGGGCGGAGATCGGAGACCGGTCGGTTCACGCACCATGTCCCATCCGCCAGTCGGCGGAGTCAGCCCCGACATGGGGGACGACGACCAATCCAGATGCCAAGCCGACTGGGCCGACGGCGGCCTCAGGGTCGAGGGCATCAGAGCGACGGCCATCGCAAGCGGGCAGTGCCGGTCAAGCGCACCGCCGGCAGGCACCTCGCCGAAGTTGGCCGGATCATTCAGGAACAGGGCCTCGTCGGCGAACCCGTGGTGGTAAATGTCCATATGGGGCGGGAATGCAAAGGGGCAATCGGGCGGAGTGAGGGGTGAACGAGAAGGTGAATGGGTCGGAGGGGGCAATGTCCCCGAGTCCCGGCCGACTTGGGGACCAGGAGGGGTCGACATAAAATGCGGACTGTGTCGCAGGGCCGTCCACCGGGGCGCGACCGGGTCACCTCCGCGCCGCGCGATCTGCCCTCCTCCCCCGGCCTTCCGGGCCTGGCATGTGCCTCTTCCCCGGGGCGGTGGGGCGCGAAGGGGCGAGAGAGACTCTGGCCGATCGTTTGTCCCAGGGGGCTCTTGGGGCGGGGGGCCATGCACGGCCAAGGCGGCGATCGGACATCCGTCGGCAGCTATGTAGCGCCACCCTTTGATTGACGGTTACCAATTCAAAATGGCCTCCCCTGCGCGCGCGGCCGGGGACACGCGCCGGCCGGGCGAGAGACTGCACGCTAGCAGCCCTCGGGCGGCGAGGCACGCCCAAACAAGAAGCACCAGGGGGGAACGAGGGCAGCGCGGTCAGTCAGCAATGGACACCCTCCTCCCTTCCCCCATTCCCCTCCTCTCCATTCACACCCGCGCGCTTTTCTTTTCCCGCCTCACCACCGCCCTCCTGCCTGCCTGCCCGCCCTCCCACCGCAGTTATGAGTCTCTGGGTTGACCGGTACCGGCCGACCTCCCTGGCGAAGCTCGACTACCATGATGATCTGACCACTCGCCTGACCCATCTGGTACGTGTTGGCGCTGGGCCTCCGCCCGCCCGCCCGCCCGCCCGCCCGCCCGCCCGCCCGGCTTTCTCTCTTCCTTCCGCCCCTTCTCGACTGCACGCCCGGTGACTGACACTGCACTGCAGTCCGCCTCCGGGGACCTTCCTCACCTGCTGGTCACCGGTGAGAGCGGGTCCGGCCGAAAGACCCGCGTCATGGCCATGCTTCGGGAGATCTTCGGCCCTGCAGTTGACAAGGCCAAGATCGATGTCAAATCATTCGACGTGCGCTTGTCCTTGCCCTTGCGGCTCCTTGGCCCGGCCCTTCCTTCACACTGACCCTCCTCCCTCCCTCCCTCCCTCCCTTTCTCACTCTCCCACTCCCCAACGGCGCATACGCCAGACCGGTACCCGGAAGGTGGACCTCCCGATTGTCTCCAGCAACTACCATCTGGAAATGAGCCCTTCGTACGGTCTTTGGTGTCACTATCACGTCTTGCTCCCCCCCCCCCTCCCCTCCTCCTGCTCTAACCTTTCACCCCCTGGCACCCAGCGATGTGGGGAACCAGGACCGCTTCGTCGTGCAGGAGGTCATCAAGGAGGTTGCCCAGTCGCAGCAGATCGATGCCAATGCTGCCCGTCGTTTCAAAGGTATGGCTCCCTGGCACTCTTTGGCGCCTTGCCATCTCCTTCCAATGTTGGCACTCGACCGTCAAGGGACTTCGGCTCCTAACCCAGCTGCGTCGCCCTGGCATCCATGCTCCCCCCCCCCCCCAGTCATTGTCATTCATGAGGCGGACAATCTGTCTCGCGATGCCCAGGCCGGCTTGCGCCGGACGATGGAGAAGTACACGGCCAATCTGCGCCTGATCCTGGTGTGCAATTCCACCACGCGCATCATCGCGCCCATCCGGTCGCGGTGTTTGCTCGTGCGCGTCCCCTCGCCATCCAAGCAGAACGTGCGCCCGGTTATGGAGGTTTCTCTCCCCCCTTTTCTCCCCTCCCCTTCGTCCGCATGTGGCCCCCTCTTTCCCGCGCACCGGCTTCTAACCCCCTGCCGATGACTTGGCCTCCCTTGCAGATGATTGCCATCCTCACAGCCACCGCAGCCAAGGAGCGCCACACGCTGTCGGAGGCGGTGGCCACCAACATTGTCAACAAGTCCGATGCCAACCTCCGCCGGGCTTTGCTCATGCTGGAGGTTGTCTGCACAAAGGGGTGCGCTGTCCTGTCTTGCCGATGGGTGGTTCTCCGTCCCGGCTTCAGTCTCTAACTTTAGGTCATTCTCCCTTGCCCCTCCCCCCCTTCCCTCCGGGCACCTTCCCAGGCAAGCCAACGATCCGGCGGCGGAGATCCCGCTGCCTGACTGGCAAGAGTACATCCACAACCTGGCGGACTTCATCCTGGCCGATCAGTCGCCCCAGCGTCTGGAGGCCGCACGCAAGCGCTTCTACGAGCTCCTTGCCCATGCCATCCCCGCGTCTGTCATCCTTCAGGTACGTCGGCGCAAGCCCCCCTCTATTGTGAGCATGGCCGGTATTTTCCCTTCCTTCCTTCTCTGAGAAGCCTCCCTTTTCCCCCCTCCCTCTCTCCCTTTGCCCCTGGCCGCCGTCATTGACATTGCCAACGCCATCATTGTCGTCGTCGTCGTCGTCGCCGTCGTCGTCGGCCTGTTGTCGTCATTCTCGACCTGCCCCCTGGTTGCATACAGTTCCTTGCCATGCGCCTGATGGCCAAGGCGCCGGAGCCCCTGCAGCAAGACATCATCTTCGAAGCGGCGGAGTTTGACCACCGCATCCAGTCTGGGACGAAGGCCATCTTTCATTTGGAGGCCTTCACTGCCAAGGTGATGAGCCTCATCAATGGCTACCATGCATCGATGTGATTGTCCTCTCTCCACCCTCCCATCCCCCTCCTGCTCCTTTCTCTCTCTCTCTCTCTCTCTCTCTCCGGTACTTCCAGCAGGGAGGGCACACAGGACCCGTCGAACGGGAGCACACACGCCCACGCACATCCACCGGTGCACGCATATTTATCCCCTCCTGTCTCTGATGCCCCCCTTGCCCTGTACTCCCACTGGCTGCCTGTCCAGAATAGACCATCTCATAAACCAGCACCCTATCTAACGAAGGCAGAATGCAACTCAAGAATGGCGCTGCCACCCGTGGGCGAACTGGGCGCCCACAGGCCCCCCCCCCTCCCTCCCTCGTCACTGTGTGATCACCCCCATGGGTTCGCGCGGGTTGGACATGCCCGCCCGTGGCACAGACAAGAGCGGGAGCCAGAAGAGGGGGGGCCATGCTCTGCCTCTTTTCACACTCTTGCTGGGCGCGGTCTCTCATCTGTGCTCCTGGCATTCTCCACACTCCTCTGATCTCAGTGGCCTCAAAGACGTGGGGTGGGGTGGGGGGGGACAACGAGGCAAAATGATCTCCCTCTCTGGGTGATCGCAGGCCCCCGCGCGACTTCGCGCTGTGTCTCCGCGTCCCGATCAAACATCCGCCCCCGGAGATGCGGTCAGGGGGGGGGGCTGGGGGGAGGGGGACGGCCCGCTTTGTCATCATCGCCCATCTAGCCTCTACACCCGGGACTCCGAGAGGCGCCCCCCCCCCCCCCCCCCAGTCGCATGTATATGTGGAGGGCATTCGCCGGCTCCTCATCGGAACGGGGGAGGGATATCTATCCCGCGCATCTGAGCAATCCGGCACGACGAATCCTTGCCGCATTTCCACCACCCCAGCTTCACCTCTCCTCTCTTGCCACCACCTCCGGTACTCCCTCTCCCTCTCTCTCTCCCTCTCTCTCCCCCTCCCCTCCCCCCTCCTCTCCACAATGCTCCCCGGTCGCGTGCTGCCACTCCGGGCCCTGTCCCGCCGGTCAACCGGTCTGGCTGTGGCCGCCCTGCCGCGCGCCGCGTGCCCGCCACCCCCCCCGGTTGCCACTAATCCCCTGCCTGCCTCCGCCGTGCGCGCCTTTTCCTCCTTCACCGGCCACCATCTTGCGCTCGGGCCATCGCGTGTGGCCCCGCTGCTGCGCCCTCGCCATGCGCCAGCCGTCATGTTCAGCTCCATCATCGGCATGATCCACGGTTCGGGCCCCGACACCCCGGTCGAGGCGAACTCCCTGCACGACTTCACCGTCACCACGGCCTCGGGCGAGAGCCTGCCCCTGTCCGAGTACAAGGGCAAGGTTGTGGTCATCGTCAATGTGGCCAGCAAGTGCGGCCTCACCCCGCAGTATGAGGCCCTGCAGGCCCTGTACACCAAGTACAAGGATGACGGTGCGCCCTGCCTTGCTGCTTGGCCCTTCGTCCGCCCGGCGGCCGCCGGCAATGTGCTAACTCGTCCTTGTCCGCCC